TCTCTCTCTCTCTCTCTCTCTCTCTCTCTCTCTCTCTCTCTCTCTCTCTCCTTTCTGATCAACATGTGAGCTGTTTCTCTCTACCATTCTTCTACCATGACATCCTTCCTCAACTGGAGCCCCAAGGAATGAACTCTGCCTTCTATGGACTAAGACATCTGAAACTGTGAGCCCTAAAATAAACTTTTCCTCCTTTAAAATTGTTCTGGTCAGATCCTTTAGTCACAGCAGCAAAATAGCTGATTAAAACACTGGGGGAACTGCTGTCAGCTACATCTTATTCTATCAATTCAGATGAGAGCAAATGGGTGACCTGAGCACTTTAAAATGGCTAGAAGAACATACCCCAGATGCACAAGGCAACATCAAAGCCCATGCCCAGGCCCAGTTTCCCAACACAGACTTAGGGTGGAACCACAGCAAAAATGAAGATCTCCAAAAGAAAAAGAGATTTCAAGAAGCCCTCATAGGAGACCTAAAAGAAGGAGATGGAGAGCCCTAAACATGAACAAGATATCAGAGATATTCCAAAATCCTGGTGAAAGCCCCAGCCAGTTCTATGATCAACTGTGTGAAGCCTCTGACTCTTCACTCCCTTTGATCCAGAGGCACCAGACAACCAGCAGGTGGTCAATGCAAGCTTTGTGGGAAGGCACACAGTGACAGTCACCCAAATTACAAAACACTAGAGGGTTTTGCTGGGAAGATTCCCAGTGAGCTGTTTGAAGTGGCCACCACAGTGTTTGTCAATCAAGACCAAGGGACCCAGCAAGAAGCAGACTGAAAGATGATGAAGATGGTTTCTCCTTGCACCTGCCCTTACTATAAACCCAGAAGTCACCCAAAGGGTTTCCCACGAGGACAAAGCCAAAACAAATACCCAAATAAGACCAGATGCAGGGCACAAGGATGGTCTCCACCAACCACCTCACCCTGAGACTACACTGAGACTAAGTCCCCTGCCATCTAGAGGGCCACTGGAAAAATAAATGCCCCAAATTGAAGAAAGCCCACTGACTTCCTGCTATTCCTTACCAGGATAAGAGAGGCCAAGTCATTCAAGGTTGATACCAGTCCTACAAATGTGTCCCCCTTGATGCTCAATGCCACAGATACCCCTATAATGCCCATGAGAAATTTTTTGTGGGACTGGAAGCCATGGAAAATTATGATGAGGACTAGGATTGATGACTGGGCTTTATCCTTTTGGGCCCTCAGAAGAATATGGTTCAAATGCTTACAGGGGAAAAACCTATGGACTTTATGGTGAATGCTGGAGCTCACCATTTATGACCCAACCTGTGGAACCACTTTCAAGGAAAGAGACCACAATTGTGGGGGGCCCAGGAAACAAAGCTCATCATCCTTTCCTGTTACCACAGCATTGAAATTTAGCAGGCCATGAAGTAGTTCATCAGTTCCTATACATGCCATATTTTTCAGTTCAATTGATAGATTGAGACCTGGTAGGAAAGCTCCAAGCCCAGAAAACTATTGATGCAAAAGGCCAGTCATTGTTATTATTGGGAAAACCTGAAGCAAGTATTTTAACCCTCACAATTCCCTGGAAAAAGAAGTGGCATCTCTTCAGCCTAGTAGAAACAGCACAACAGGAACCACATATCCCTTTCCTTATACAAGGAGAATGGACAGAGGCCAACCCACCTGGACTAGCCAAAAACTTTCTCCCAGTGGTGATGAAATGTGAACCTGAAGCCATACCAGTACACCTGAGATGACATCATATTCCTTAAAAGGCATAACTTGGAATTCAAAAATATTTGATCACACTTTTACAATGTGGAATTCTCAGAACTAACCAATCCCCATGAAATACACCTCTTATGCCTTTCCAGAAACCAGAAACTGATAATTATTGGCCAGTCCAAGGTTTACATGCAGAAAATCAAGCCACAGTCACCTTATATCCTATGGTCCCTGATCCACATAATCTCCTAAGTCTGCCCCCATCTGAGGCGGGCTATTTTACATGTCTGGACCTTAAAGATGCCTTTTTCTGCACGCAACTTGTACCGCAGAGTCAGCCACTCTTTGCCTTCTAATAAGGAGACTCCCATGGGAACAAGGGCCAATTGAACTGGACTAGGTTGCCACAAGGATTCAAAACTCATTAAACCTCTTTGGGATAGTGTTGGCCTCTGACTTAAAAGCCTTTCCTGGAAAACAATGTGGATGCATATTGTTCCAATATGTAGATGATCTGTTCCTGGCTGGAGCAACCAGAGAAGATGGCAAAAGAGGAACACAGCTGCTACTCACTCTCCTATGTAAGGCTGGTTACAAAGTTTCAAAAAAGAAAACCCAGATCTGTCAAGAAAAGTAAAGTACCTTGGTTTCTGTATAACTCAGGGACAGTAGAAACTGGGATACAAGAGGAAACAGGTCACCTGCTTAATTCCTGTCCCTTCAACCTGCTGTCAAATCAGAGATCTTTGGTGCCGCTTAATTCTGCTGTGTATAGATCCCCAACTTTTCAGTTATGGTAAAACCCCCTGTGAAGGCCCAAAAGGGGTGAGAACAGGATCTGCTATTTGGGGGGCCTACAAAACAAAAGGTCTTTGAGGACACTAAAGAAGCACTCACCAATGCACCTGGATTAGGTCTTCCTGACCTCACAAAGCCTTCTTCCTGTATGTCCATGAATGGTATGGAATAGCTGTAGGGGTCCTGACTCAAATGCTGGGAACATGGCACGTCCAGTGGCCTATCTATCTAATCAGGTGGACTCTGTATGTAGCTCAAGGCTGGCCACCTTGCTTATGGGCCCTTGCAGCCATGGCCCTTCTGGTGTTGGAAGCTTATATACTGGCTATGAAACAAGAATAAGGTGTCCATGTTCTTCATTAATTTTGACATTATTAGAGTAAAAAGGATAATGTTGGCTGAATAACAAAATAATTGTCAGTTACATTGGGTGGGAAACCAAACCTTTTTCTTAAGATGGCAGCTGATGCTTAAGATGGTCATCCAGATGCTAAGCTAGGATCTTCCACTGGGTAAGAGACTCTTTATGAAGTAAAGTTGTAATACATCTAAATTTAAAAAAAA